GGCACACTTTTGTACTCGTATACATGGCACATCATAAAATGTAATATAGAAAAAAAACAGCATTATGAAAATATGTTGTTCTGTGTTGCCATGGAGCATTCTTAGCAGGTGTTTAGGTTATCTTTTGTGCCTATCTGTTGTGTGTTGTTTCTCCAGCAGATAAGCAAAAAAAGGAGACTGTTGCATTTTCAGCCTTTGTATTATATTGATAGAATGCAAGTGTGTGTCTGTGTGTGTGTGTGTCTGTGTGTGTAGATTTTTGTTCTCAATGAATGAAGAACAAAGTGATCGTTTCAGGCGTGTTTCTAGGTGGAATATGCTAGCCTCACCGATAGAGCTGTTCACTTTGGCATACTTATTGCTGTCACATTTCCACATAATTTAAATACACTTTGGTGTCAGTGGTATTTGCTCCAGATAATGTGAAAATGGATGATTGGACAGTTTCAATGTGTGCTGCGATTGATCAAACTGTGCTCTAAGACAGCTTTGGGAGACTCATAATGGATATGCAGATGGTAAATTCTCGGTACTGTTGAATTCTGGGATTACTTTGTGGTGTTGCAAATCCATGACAACTTTGACAAGGGAGGAAATTAACTATGAATTAAACTTAAGACAAAGTACCAAATGTATAAACAATCATTTGCTTTTCTTAACCGAATTGGTAAATTTGCACTGGTTTGATTCTTTTAAATGTCCTTTTCCCCCTTAGTCTTGGACCAAGTCCTGCTTAAATTGATTGACAATCTCTCACTTGTATCATCAGATGCTGTATTTCAAGCCTGAGTAATGTGATTCAGCTCCACAGTACAGAAGAAGGGAGGGGAAGCGATGTTCTCCCGCAACCGCTGCAATGGACAGGATGGCACGGGCGTCCCTCAGTATCCCCGACCCAAAAAAAAAAATTCAGTGCCAAAGAGGAGGCAGCCTAATCCCAGAGTTGCTCTGGTGTTGCGTGGGAAAATTAATCGTTTCTTGCAGGGATCGGCAGATCATACTGTCCAGCCTTCTGGTCTTTACAATGCTGGAATTGAAGAAGAGGATGAAGAGGGTGAAGATGATGTTGAAAAGTTGCAGAACTACTACAGGAGAGGATTAGCTTCGGTAGAGGATTGCTGCTCGCCTCAGGTGCCAAATGGACATGGGCTGGGAGAAGTTTCTGAGGCACCTTGCGTAGGGGAAGTGGAACTTAACCGGGAAGGAGGCATCAGGATTCCTTGCACTTTGCAGCACAACAGTCATTTGGCAGTGGTTCAAAACCAAATGTCGCAAGATCTAAATGGGACTGAGTTTTCTTCTGGTAGAACACTTAATGGTGAGCCTAAAAGGCAGACGGACACTCCGCTGTGCAGGTTTAATATGACAGTGCAGGATGAAGTTGTGAAGGGGAATAATGAGGACTGTCAGGAGGAAGAATCGAGTGCTATCGTTGAGCACATACTAAAGGAATTGCGAGGGATCAACAAAATACAAGAGGAGATTTCAGACTTGAGGGAGTACTTGTCATCTGTTCGTGGTTCTGTTGAGGAGGTTTCTAGCTGTGTAGATGCCGTTTTAATGGAGATTGAATGCATGCGGTCTGGAAAAAAATCTGGTGTGGAGACTTGGCCAGGGGCAATGGGTGGCACTGAAGGTCCCTCCCACCATCACAAATCAAGTAAAACTGTTAGTATAGGCTGCAATAAGCCTTACGCTGTTGAATCCTCAAGTAGCTGTGGTGATATACCCCCGCAATATCAAGTTTTTGATGGGAAACACAAAGAGGTGCCACGGCAATCCACTTTCACTAGTGCCAAGGCTTCAAACCACAATGAACACCATCCATTTACACAAGAAGCATCTGATCAAAGGTCAGATGTATCTCAAGATGCATGGAGAAGGAAGCTTAGCTTTGGTTTCCTTGAGCGCCAGGATGGACAGGACTGTCCAAGCACCAGTTCTCCATCTTCGGGTCAGAGTTCCAAGTCTGAGTCTGATCCAGAAAAACCCACCTCTGGACAGGGCAATACAGGGTGTGAATGTCAGACCTGGAACCCGGTGGCTTTAAAACGCAGTGGTAGTGGAGAGATTGGATTGAGCGAAGATGATTGTTGCTCCAGACAAGGCAGTTTTGAAGAGGCAGAGTGCTGTACAGGTGAGATAAACCGCTGGGACCAATCAAGAGCTGTAAAAACTTGTACAATAGGCACCTCAGATCAAATATCCATTGTATCTGGTAAACACTACAACTCTCCTGCTAGTACATGCAGTAGAGAGGATTGGAAGCAGTATGATGCAGAAATGCTCCATGAAGAACCTGGTTTGGGCTGCCATAATTGCAAAGGAGATGGTGAATGTCCTCAGTGTTCTGTGTATCAGAATGACATTTATCATGCATCTTCTTCTGAAAATTGCCTTGTAAAGCTTCCATTTAAAAGTGAGTCCATAGAAAGTGTGTTTGTTGAGCCATCCAGGAGCCTTCTAAATGAATTTACATCATTATGTAATCAAAATGCCCCTGATTGGAAGCCTGACTCTGCTGATGACAGTAATGTGACATTAAATGTAAAAAAGTTTGGTAGAGCAGTTCTTGACTTCAAAACTGCCTTACGTGGAGCTCTGAAGAAGATGGATGGGACTAGTGCTACTTTGCCAGGAGAAAAGATTGAAGTCCATTCACCAATCTCTCTGTGTGGGAAGCAACAAGGAATGATGGTGATTGGAACACCAAATTTAGAGATGCCTCATATAGAGATGGGGACTCCACAAACAGAAACCAACTATTCTGAGCGGCCTCAAGCCATCAGTACTGAGAAAGGGTTCGCCGAGATACCTCAATGCATCCCCACCAAAGCAAAACCTGAATCACCTCCTCACCAGCATAATATTGAAGATTCAGAACATCCGAATTCTCCAGGGTTGGACTCATCCACCAGTAATGCATCAGATGCTACATATGGACATCAAACCAGTGCTCATTTAACACAAAGCTTCTCTACAGACATTATCCAAGACTCGTTTTCCCCTGAGGAACTAGCAGTTGAAGAGGAGCAAAGAACACTAATGGGGGAAACCAAGCCTCCCACAGAGTCCTTCACAGAAGGAGGTAGCGAAGCAGAGCTTAGTCAGCGGGATGCACGCCGTCTGAAGTGCCTCAGGACTTTCCAGCAGATTCTGAGGGAGAAGAGAGAGTCCAGAAGACAACTCAGCATAGTGACCATGTCAGCATTTTCTGAAGATGATTTGAACCCAGGTATATTGAGGCCCTTTGCTTCATATTCATTGTTCTGTTTTATTGGGATTTGTTATAAGTTTCTGGCTAAAGTTTAAAATTTGCAGTGTTAGTGGTTTCTGTGAACTCTGTCATGAAATTCCTTGTCAGAAATGGAAAGTAAATAATTCCGATGACCATGGCTCTGCACATAAAACATGTCTCACAGATAGTGTGCAATATTTAAATGCTACTCTTTTTTTTCCCCTGTAAAATATCAGATTTCATCAGAAACTGCTGACTCTTGTAGCCAGTGGTCCTTTTCTGCAGATATATTAGCAAGCGCCCTTCTGGCTGTTACACTAGTCTTGTTCCCCAGGCTCAAACAAACTAATTACACTCATTGAACTGAAATGAAAACAGATCTGACGTGAAAGCAGAGTGCAGGGAAAATTTAGGAGCCGTTATAAATGAATAAAACTTCTCAATGAAACTTTCATGAACTGTCTAGATCACCACAGTTCTGCAGTTCATATTCCTGGTCCATAATTATAAACAAGGTTATTAAGCTCCCTGTCAGCAGATATATAAATATGTTCTTGGACAAGAAGTTTATATGCTTTATAATGTTGTCTAGTTAAAGAGTTATGTCTGGTTCTGGCTAACAATTATGTGATAGCTTGATGTGCTATTTGTTGTTATTTTCAGATGGAAGCCAGGATGAAGATCAGGTTATATCTTTTTCACATTGTTTAAAAAGTGTCTTGATGTTTTATGTTCGCAGTGCTAAAGATAAATAGTGTTGTTTAAAGGTGTGTATGGTGATAACGGACTAATTTGTTTATTTACTGCATTGTGTTAAATTTCTTGTCTGTTTTTTTTTATTTTGTTTAAATCAGGCCTTGTTCTCATTGTAAGCTAGGCTGCATTGTAAACATTACACACATTTTCAGACTGTGTTATTGATTGTAGCTCATTAAAGTATCCCTCCCGGTTATACCATATAAAATAGAAACTGTGATGGCAGATATATTTAAGGCCTATTGCTAGAGTTGCTGAGTCAGAGTTTTATAGCAATGGTTTTCTTCCATCAACCCTTTTGTTTGGAGGGGTTTGGCATCAGGGATGGGTTTGTGTAAGGAATTGAATGATTCTGTTGCAACTACATCAACAATTCTAGGTATTTTTGAGGAATAAATGTTTCTTAATAAGAAATACAATTAATTTAGTGCACTTGTTGCCTGTTGCCAAATCATGAGTTGAGACAAAATGGTGTTTACATTTTTTATTATAGCACAGAGGTGGTATGAATGCCATTCAATAATTTGTCCTCATTCTATATTACATCAAATTATTTAATTGTTATAAATTTTTTTTTTTTTTTTTTATTTAATTCATGTTATTAATGGTATGATTTATTTTATTTTTTATTTGCAAGATAAGTCTGGATCTTTCTGTATTTATCTTGCATTAAAAGCAAACGTACTTTTCTCTGTGTTAGATATACAGTATTGTACTATCCTGTGTTTTGAAAGTCAATTCAATTGTAACTTTCTGACAGGAATTGTGCATTAGAGATTTTTGAGAACTTTCATGTCTCGTCCTGTCTTGACTAGAAATTTTCGAATTACTGTAAAATTCTGATAGTCACGAATATACAGTAGTGGTGAAATTCAATCAACCAAACAGCAGGGCTTTCACTATTCCTTTTTCACCCTGTTTCCCATGTGCTGTTTTTGTTGCCTATATGTGAAGCTTTAATATTTTATATTTGTTTTAATACATGATAATATGATCAACCTTTCAGAATATCAATGGAGATCATAACAAACATCCATGGGCCAAACCTGGGTATGAACTCTTGCTCATTTTCTTTCACTGTTCGAACCATGTTGTTGTTTAGCTGTTCTTCACCAAATTTGTTTTTGTTTTTTCATTACTGGAATATCCATATTTTTTATCTTCAGGGGAGGTGGAATATTTGGCATTGACAGCATGCCTGACCTTAGGAAGAGAAAGCCTATCCCCTTGGTTAGCGAAGTGGTGAGTGATGTAATTTTTATTGTTCATTTTCCACAGCTCCACCCATATTGAAACACATTTCTTAGTAATTTTTCCCTCTATATTGGGTATATACAGATTTGACTTATTGTAATCTAACTCTTTTATATCTCTTATCTAACCTAACCTCATATACTTGCAAAATTCTAACTGAATTCTGATCTTCTTTTGGCATTTTTCTTAATGCTTTCCTTCACTACCAGGCCATGGTAAGTACACCTTTTCTATTAGAGAATGCTTCACAATTCAAGGTTTACATTTTTCAGCTTTTACTCAAAGCAGACTTAAAAACAACATTCAGGCATATGTTTACATTATTTTAGGTGTAGAATGTTATTTTAGCTATAACATTGCATCCTAGTCAGACATGTTGTGATTCCAGCAATTTGTCTGTCCACACTGAAGGAGAAAGTGTTTTATGCATTTCACAAGGCGAAAAAATATAATATTAAACTTCATATTGTCAAAAAATTTTGTTTTGTGCTCAGTTTCATTTTCAGTGTGTGATGCCATCACCTATGATTTACCGCTCAACTCGTGATTGAAATGAGCAGTATACTATATCACCAATGAATGAGTGCATGACATCCTGCCTCAGAATGGTTGATATTACAAGTGGTCTGTTTTTGATTATAATGGATTTTGGCATCCATGTACATGTGTCTATGTAAACTTGTAATTGAATGTATTCTCTTCACCCTTGAAGAGGGACATCATATGTAACTGGTGCATTAAAAACCAGGCGAGTGTGCATACTATTGACTTGAGGAGTTCACTGACATGTCTGTGAGTCAGAAATTGGGGACTTTCATCAATCAGTCTTTGTTGCTACACTATAAAATTGAAACCCACACAGATACAGGCTGCAGAGGGGACAAAAAAGAATAAATGCAAAATAAAAACAGGCTTGATCTGAAGCTTTTGACTTGCACACAGTTTTCATGGCAACGAAGGCTTCTTTTTTTGTAAAGGGTGATTAAGATGAATATAAACAAAGGTTATTGCACAACTCTGGAATATTTGATTCTGATTACAATTTACATGCTCCAGACAAATGATAAGTACAATTTGATAAATAATGATATAATGATATTTTTTTATGACAATGCAACTGGAGATGGCATTTTCTCCTAGCAATGTAGTATCGATCCTTGTATTTAGCTTTCAAGCCTTTTTAATTGACTGAACCTCAGCTATGACCTGCCAGCCCCCTCACTCACCCTGTACCACTCACGGTTGACTAGCTGAGCAATTGATGGCCAGGGAAAATATAAAGCCAACCATTTGCTTGTGTTGAATCTCTGTCATTAGCTATGAGAGGCTAAATTGTGCTCTTATCTCTGTTCCTATGGAATATCAATCTTTGGAGTATTTGTCTGCCTTTAACTATGAAACAATCATTGATATTTTTTTTCAGCATGTTGTATTGACAGTATTTATAGGCTGGTTTTTGTGGTTGTTGTTGGTACTATTCTTTATTATGGTATTGAGTCATTTAAGAAGTTAGAAATGAAATGCTGAAAGCTTCTTAAGTAGACACGGTGCCATTAATGGGTAAATAGTGTTTAGAATATTAATAGGAATGTAGTATATACAGGCATGAACTAACATTTACCAGGTGTTTAAGGACAAATAACAAAAATAGTGCTAAACCCATTAGGGGAGCACAAATAAAGTCACAGACCCATAATGGTATAATGAGTACTACTATTATTAATTCATATTCACCATTGTTCCCTTCTCTCAGTCTCTGGTACAGTCCAGGAAAGCTGGGATATCGCGCGCATTATCTGCACGCTCTTCAGTGAAGGATGAAGAACTGGTAAGACCTGCAAATACACAAACATCAGTAATCTATCTGCTTCTCTCTTTTTAAAATTGCTTCTCTCAACCCAATTGTTAAAGTTGCAATGAAACGGAAGTAGTGACAGATCTTTTCTTCTGTATTGTGTGACGTACATCTAAGTGAAAAAATAAGTGTTGTATCCATTGATTGTTGATTGGATGGCAGTAGATCTAATTGACAGCTTGAATTAGATTGTGAGAAAGGGGCGGGGTTTAAGCTGACTAAATGAATGCAAAGGTCCTTCTTACAAAACTAGAGGGAAGTCAAAAAATGGATGTATCATTTACAATAAGACCAATAACAAGTATTTAGAAAATAGAGAGGGTGAATTTTCATGTCATGCTGACTTTAAAGAAATAGCAAAAAGAAAGTCAGTATTCACTGAAAAGACATGATTCACACCATCTATGATCAATACCATGCACATATTTCATAACTAATAACAATGTAATGAGTTTGAATATGACAAAGACTTTCAGTAAATAATTATTTAATTTGTAGCATGTGTCTTTAAAAGTTCCCAGCAGAATTTTTTTTGGAATTTCTTTGGTGCTGATATGGAATTAAGAAATAAAGTATTAAAATAAATATGTCTTCAGCAGACTTGTAGTCTTTCAGAAGTAATATACAGTATCACACCAGCCATTTGTATAACTACCACATTCATGTTTTTTCTCTTTTTATGCCATTTTTAGAGCTTGACAGCATCGGTCCCCTTTCACTTTCATTGTATGGCATTGTGTTTTTCATTGTGTGGTTCGGAATGACACAAGGGTCATAATGATAACGGAGTAATTGTTGACAGAATTAAAATGCTCTAGTTTTCGTTTCTAGTTTAAAATTTTCTAGTCTTATATCAAAATTTAAAGTTACCCTTCAGATGCTTCGAATTGATGAATGTTTGTGTGGGTGTACACCTACACCTTATGTAGAGAAAGATGTGTGATGTGGCTCTCAATTGGTCATCACTTTGACACCTGTCTGCCCACTTCCATAACTACACCTACACCAATATTTATAAAGCATATCTTGGGCTCTTACACTTACCTGCTATTTTTCCCCATTTTCTGTTTGAACCATTCTTAACAGCTTCCTGTCTTTTCATTTCAACACATCCTACATTTGAGCTGGGCTTTGTTTTGAAATGTCATCATCAGGATTGCGTCTAGGGCCCATTTCTGCAGACACCATTTTCAATTTCTCTCTCTCTCTGTAGAAGAATCACGTGTACAAGAAGACCCTCCAGGCTCTGATTTACCCTATTTCTTGCACGACACCCCATAACTTTGAAGTGTGGACCGCCACCACGCCCACCTACTGTTATGAGTGTGAGGGTTTGTTGTGGGGTATCGCGCGGCAGGGCATGCGCTGCTCTGAGTGCGGAGTCAAATGCCACGAAAAATGCCAGGAGCTTCTCAACGCAGACTGTTTGCAGAGTGAGTCACTAACCAAATACAGAAAAACAAGCAACAACAACAAAAGAACGACTTAAATGTTCATTACATCTAGTAGTTTATGTATTTTTCTTTGCACTATTCCTTATGAATGTTACATCTGTGCCATTGATGGATGCTTTTTAATAAAAGTAACCAACTGATTGAGCAGAAAGCTTGTAAAAATGAGTAAGAAATATGTAAGATTATACACTAACACTAATGCTCAATTATACAATTCATGAAAAATACACAAAAATGACTGCTAATTTTTAAATTCAACTTTTCCTTTAATGTTAATATAATTTGTAATGAAAATACACAATAGAAACGTTTTCACTAGTGCAGTATGTTTGACGTGTTTTTGTTCCCTCTTGTATTATGTTTTATATTGCAATTAAATGATAAACGCATCTCTACAATTGCTAGGAGCTGCTGAGAAGAGCTCCAAAACGGGAGCAGAGGACAGAACCCAGCATATCATATCAGCCATGAAGGACCGCATGAAGATCCGAGAGAGGAACAAGCCTGAAATCTTTGAGATGATAAGGCTCGTGTTCAGTATGAATAAACTGAACCATGCTCAGCAGATGAAGACCATCAAACAGACTGTGCTTGACGGAACATCAAAATGGTCTGCCAAAATCTCCATCATGGGTAAGTTACGGAAGCAGGGACAGCTGGTATTGCTCTGTACTTTGATTGAAATGTTTAGAGTATTCAATTCAATTCACAATTATTTGCATAGCGCTTTTCACAATACATATTGTTTCAAAGCAGCTTTACAGAAAATGCTTGTCTACTACATTACAATTTAGAGTGGTCTGTTATTAGAGGTGACTGTGTCCATGTTATGTATTTCAAAATTACAAATTTCAAAATTACAAATTACACAGTTAGCTAGTGTAGTACTCCCTTTAGTGATAAATGAGAGTAAGAGAGACAAAACTTTAGTGATAAATGAGAGTAAGAGAGACACAACTGTGTTTTATTCCAGTGGTCCTCTCTGTGTTGTTTTTTTATTTAATCATAGTTTTCAATACCATGAACTCTCAATAAATAAGTAAACAAATATACACACTATCAAACAACAACTATAATAATAATACAATAGTTCAGACTCTCTCACAGTTGTTTCACACAGATGATACACTAACAGACTTTTCTATTATAACTATACCAAAATCATTCATGAAACAAACACCCAATTGAACTAATATAGTAGACGCATCTGAATAACTGTAGTTTTCTTAAATTTGATCATTTTTACTAACCTTTAGTGATAAATGAGTGTAAGAGAGACAAAACTGTGTTTTATTCCAGTGGTCCTCTCTGTGTTGTTTGAGGATGCGCCACAGTCGTCATGGCAACACTCAACTCCCACCTGTCACTCAGAATTTAGAAAATGCAACTGGACTGTTCAGTGCAAACTCATATAATTAAAGTAATTTAAATAAAACATATATATACTGTAAATAAATTGAAATAGACATATATAAATACAAAATAAAATATATACAAATACTTAAATATTTCGAGACCCAAATATTCTGGGTGGTTACACTAGTAATGTAATAATTTAAACAATGTATTAATTTAAATTTAGAGTAGACACCTTTCAATGATCTATATATTCAAGGAACAATTGTGTAAATGCAGATTTCTATTACTAAATAATGTCCTGTGCCTGCATTGAAATTTATATATTTTTTATACAGATTGTGTGTGTTCATGTGGTTTTTTCCAGTTGTGAGTGCTCAGGGCCTGCAGGCTAAAGACAGAACTGGTTCCAGTGATCCGTATGTGACGGTTCAGGTTGGAAAGACTAAGAAGAGAACCAAAACTATCTACGGTAACCTTAACCCTGTGTGGGAGGAGACGTTCAACTTGTGAGTCTTATACAATATTTATCTTTGTTCTCTTGGAATCCTTTCTTTTACATGATTTGTTCTTATTATCATTTATTTTCAATGTAATCAGACAAAATCTGTATAAATTTTTTTTGTATACTGTATATTGGTCTCCATGTTATCTCTTTGCAGTCTAGAAGTAATTAAATAGGATATTAATATAAGATTTTAAAGTGATCTCCCACAGGCTAGTAAGTCAGTCAACCCAAAACTTATAATGTATAATGGAATTCTTACTTGGGGAGCTTCTCGCAGAGCTAAGACAATGTGCAATGTGACCGATTTTAAAGAAGATTTTAAAGTATACTGTACACTGCTTTAAAAAAAAAAAGTTATGCGTATGGGAAGAAAGTACTGCATTGCATTCACCAATATTCTATGGCATAGTGCAGCAGAATAATATATAAGCCACAATAGCAAGTTTTGTTGTTAGACAAAAATGGTCAAACCACTCTAATATGTGCCTTATAATTATTTAATAAAGTGTCAATTTATAAAAGCAATAACTAATACTTAGCTTATTAAATAAATTCATTTTTAATTATAGTGACCATAAACAATTCTAAAAGTAATAGCATTTGGTTCATTAAAAAGAAGATGTTTGCAGTTTTTAAGAATTATAGCAACTTCTGTTAATATTGAATTGTTAACTGTGTTGAAATCACAGATGTGCAGATAGTACATTTTTGTGGCTTTGCAAAAGTCATTACAATTTTAGAACCAATACAATACAAATACAAAAATAAATCTCTTTTAGAGGCGTTGTGATTTGTTTTCTTTCACCTCCCCAGTGAGTGCCACAATTCATCTGATCGCATTAAACTGCGCGTATGGGATGAGGATGATGATATAAAGTCTCGCGTGAAGCAGCGTCTCAAAAGGGAATCTGATGACTTTTTGGGTCAGAGCATCATCGAGGTCCGAACCCTAAGTGGAGAAATGGACGTCTGGTATAACCTTGGTAAGTTCCCTTTCAGTCGCTCACGTTCGACGTAGTCGACGTGTCGACTGATTGGGATCACGCTTAGGGAGCCTGTCATCTTCGAGTATTGTTAAAACGAGCCAATGCACATTGTCGTGCAAGATTTGCATCTCACACTCCGCCCTGCGCCGCGGGTATAAATACGGAAGTGGATGCACGCACCAGTTGTCTTTCGCTTCTGGGCCGATCGGTCTTCATGTCGATGTCTCTGAAGAGTGTTGTTTAATTACAACGAGCGAGTGTGTCGGTGCTTCTTCAGGAAGGCTCTCCCGGTGCTGGTGGTTTACAGCGCGAGTACAGCGGTGGTCGCGAGCTCTCTGAGCTCTCAACTGCTGTTTTAACAGCATCAAATTTCTGTTTGTGTGTTTGTTTGTCTGATGGCCGGTTGAGGGCAAAGAGAGTGAGTGCCTCACTGGTACAGGCTGCACCATCCCTGTCAGTGTTGCCGCGATCATTCCTCTGTGTGCTCCGGCACTGGTAAGAGTTTTCAAATCCTGAAAGAACAACACGGGTGCGTTTGCGTCTTTTTCAAGATGTCATTCCACCCGTGCGTTTCTGGATGCGGTCGTTCCCTGTCCCCCTCTGATGGTCACAATTGTTGCATCACGTGTTTGGGCTTACAGCACGCTGAAGCGCGCTGGTCCATCTGTAATGGATCGACCAGACGTTTCATCCAGGGTTTCTCCAGAGGACAGGATGTCGATTGCAGCATCGGAGGGTGAGCTGATCTATGGAGATGACGACTTGGCTGCGTTATCCCCTTCGGGGAGTGTAACGTTGCCCGAGCCAGATCCACAGCTGTCAGCTATGCTGAAACGGGCCGCTGAGGTCTCAGTCTCAGTTCCTTTCTTTCCTGAAATGCATGGAGAGCTTACTAGGTCGTGGACGGCACCTTTTACTGTCGAAACTGCCTAGAGAGCCCCTCCCCCCTCACTACCCTTGACGGAGGAGCGGTGAAGGGTTACGAGGTGATCCATCCTGTGGAGCGGACTGTCGCGATACACCTGTGTCCGGCGGCCGCTACATCAGGGAGTGGGGATCCTCCTCTCCCCCCCCAGGCCTGTGAGCTCATGAGTGAGCTCCACACCGCAACCGACTTGGCTCTCTGGAGCACGAGCGTTGCAGCCTGCACGATCAGTCTAGCGATGTCCACCCTGGTGGTCGATCTGGTGGTTGGTGGTTGATATGGCGGATGCGGGCAAGGTTCGTTTCCTGGACTCCCCAATTTCCCAGGTTGGGCTTTTCGGCGATGCGGTGGAGAACTGCGCCCAACAGTTCTCTGCTGCTCAAGCGCAGACGGAGGCCATCCGGCACATCCTGCCCCGGCGGCCAGCTGCTGCCTTCACCCCGCCACCGGTGGCAGTTCATCCGCCTGCTCATCGCTGAGGGCGTCCCCCTGCCGCCGCTTCTGCCCCTGCTGAGGTCCCGCAGCAGCCTTCACCCAGGCCTCAGCGTGGAGCAAGCCGCAGGCAGGCCGCCCAGCCTGTCTCAGGCGCTGCCGAACCAGGTGGCAAGCGTAAGACGAAGCGTCCCTGAGACAGGCCACCCAGGGATGGGGGGGGACGAGCTCTTCAGATGGTTACCGTTCCGCCACTGGCTCCCCGGAGTCCAGTGGTACCCAAATTGTCAGAAGAGCAAATTCCTCAGTCCCTGGGTCCCAAGAGAGTGAGGCTGGCGGTGTGCGACCCTGTGGATCATCCTTGCACCCCTCAGCCCCCTCTTGTTCGCCAGCTGGCAGCATGATGCGTTTGAGGACCCGGTCATCCGCCTTCTCACGCATCCCCTGTTGCCTTGTGGAGACAGGTAAGTCTTGCTCCGCTCACTCAGACCCCGCTTCGGGCCGCCCCCCGGCCTTCCGAGCCGGGTCCATGTCTTCCACCTCGCTGCTCCACCCCGGGTACGTCTGTGGTGCCCCTGGTCCCCCTGGCCCGGTTTGTGGAAGCCTGGAAAGTGCTTCCCAACCAGTCCAGCTGGCTCCTCCGTCCCATCAGACTCGGTTACACGATTCAGTTCGCCCGGCGTCCGTCCAGGTTCAGCGGAGTTCGTTTCACTTCGGTGTTGAACGAACGTGCCCCTGTCATGCGCGCAGAGATCGCAGCCCTACTGGCAAAGGACGCGATAGAGCCGGTTTCACTAGCTGATTTGAAGACCGGCTTCTGCAGCCCGTACTTCATTGACTGATTGGGATCCCAATCAGTCGACACGTCCACTACGTGCATCCACTTCCGTATTTATACCCGCGGCGGAGGGCGGAGTGTGAGATGCAAATCTCGCACGCCAATGTGCATTGGCTCGTTTTAACAATACTCAAAGATGACAGGCTCCCTAAGCGTGATCCCAATCAGTCGACACGTCGACTACGTCTCCGTTCCCTCCTAACCGAGACGTTCCTCAGTCTATGTGTGTTTTAATGTTGAGTAGTTTTTGATCTCTTTTAAAAAAAAAAACTTTTCTCTGAGGTTTTGAAAGTAACACTTGTGTGTTCTATTCAGCTCTCACTGTGGGTTCCCTCTGGAATTTTGAATGGGTTTTAGAATAGTTGTTTTTGATTTAATTAGTTGTTTTAGTTGGTTAGTTTGATTTAGTAGTTAACATTTACTGGAAAAGGGCTTTCATGATTTAGTAGTTAACATTTACTGGAAAAGGGATTTTTATGTTTTGCTCTATAACATAAATTACACAGTCACATCTTCCACATCTTCTGGATTTTGAAACCTTTGTGTGCTTTTTTTTGTTGCTTTTAAGTTGCGAACAAGTTGCTTAATACAGGCTAATTAGGACCTTATTTTTTTCCCCCTCATAAATCTAAAACTGATATTCGAAAAACCCATTAGAAATTCTCAAGGGAACCCATGACTAGACAGTGCTAATTTTCTTAAGGGGATTAGGACTAAAAACTGAATGGCTCCATTATGTCACACAAGAAATTAAACCATCGGTCTGCTTAAGGGTTGGGATTTCAGTGCAGGTCATAAACGATCCATGGCAAAAATATGAACTGTAATAATATATATCTTACTTCATTTTTAATGTTGTAATAAGCCTGAGCAGATAAAATTATCAAATGTAGTGATTTGCATGAATTTAGATATAAGATTAAAAAAGTTACAGTGAAATATGGCAAAATTTTACTTTAAGCTATTCATGAAAACTTGCACGATTAATATGTCCAACTTTGGTGGTGGACATGTTACAGTCAGTCAGATGGTTTAACTACTCTACGGCCACAAGACTTCTTCTCTCTTTGCATAATAATATTACAGAAATGAGAAAGCTGTTCTTCAGTTGTGATTTTCATAAGAGCTCAATACATTTGTGTCCAATCTGTTCATAATGGCTTCCTACACCAATAAATTGTTTCTGATCAAATATTTATTGTAGAAAAAAAAGTAAAATGATAGGTGTTCATTTTAAAATCTTAAGTCTGATGTCTTTAAATTTGAAAGTATTGTTTATTATCGCTTGATGATAAAATTGAATGTTACTGCCGGATGTAAATCTACTACTATGCTTTGGCCAAGGGCCTTCATTAGAAGCAGATGCTGGTAAACTTTCATATCAGATGTGTAATGGCCATGTGTAATCTCTGATTTATGCAGAAAAACGCACAGACAAGTCAGCGGTATCAGGGGCCATTAGACTGCAGATAAGTGTGGAAATTAAAGGGGAAGAGAAAGTGGCCCCTTATCATGTTCAATACACCTGTCTGCACGAGGTAAAACGCTTACAATATCTTTTTAAATTTAAATTTCAAATACCTGTGTACACTAATGTTCAAGAACTTAGGGTGGTTATACATTTTTTTAAAGAAATTAATGCTTTTATTCAGCAAGGGTGCTTAAAATTAAGACTGTAAGACTTTTACATTTTTTCCAAAACATTTCTATTTAAAACAAATGCTGAATCCCAGAACAAAATTTATCATGGTTTCCACAAAAATTAAAAGCAACCTGTTTTTTTCAGTGATAATAATAAGAAATGTTTCTTCGGCACCAAATCGGCATATTGGAATGTTTTAGAATGATCATGTGACACTGAAGAGTAATGTCTTATGGTAAATTCCATCACAGGAATAAATTACATACACTGCCGTTCAAAAATGTGGGATCGGTAAGATTTATTATGTTTTAAAAAGAAGTATATGCTCACCAAGGCTGCATTTATTTGATTAAAAATACAAAAAACAGTAATATTGTGAAATACTGTATTATTACAATTTAATATTATCAAAATTATTACAAAATAGAACTGTTTTCTATTTTAATATATTTTAAAATGTAATTTATTCCTGTGATGCAAAACATTACTCCAGTCTTCAGTGTCACATGATCCTTCAGAAATCATTCTATTATGCTTATTTGCTTCTCAAGAAACATTTATTATTATTGTCAATGTTGAAAACAGTAATGTACACATTTCTTTCAGGATTCTTTGATTACCGATCCTAAACTTTTGAACGGCAGTGTATATATAATTACACACACACCCCACACACACACACACACACACACACACACACACACACACCTACAGTATTTTAAATGATTTCACAATATTACTGTTTTTACTGTATTTTTAATCAAATAAATGCAGCCAGATTATTTTTCTTTTAAATATTAAAATCCTAATAACCCAAACTTCTGAATGGTACATAATTAATCTCTAATATATTTATTCCCAAAGGCCAACAAACAGAAAATAATTTCTATAGCGAAATACTCTCCATCTCTCTCTTTTTTTTGTAGAATTTCTTTCACTTTGTGACAGACGTTGAAGGGCAGGGTGTGGTGAAGTTGCCCGTGGCACGCGGAGATGATGCCTGGAAGATCTACTTTGATGAGATTGCTCAAGATATTGTAGATGAGTTTGCCATGCGCTATGGGATAGAATCCATCTATCAGGCCATGACGTAAGCCATGGAGCGTTTTCTGTGTATTCGGACAGCTATAGGTCCTTTGCTGTTGACAAGAAATGTCTGCTGGTAGCGTTCTGTAATCGCATCAATGCCCATCAATAATAAGTCAGTTTTAACAATATGAGTTTAAGAGAGTTTGGGTATTTAAATGGACTGAATATTTGGGTTCAGTTGTGCACATTGATATTCCAAACAGAATATTAATGAGTCTTTTGTTTATTCAATTGAGAGACTTGTTTTGGTGAGAAGCAGTGAATCACAATGAAAGAACTGACTTGTTGTTTGAGATGAGAAGTCCATATACTGATATTTATAAAAGGAAAATGAATATTCTATATTATTAAAAAAGTGACATTTACTATTATTACGCCCAGTAACTGTTGTAGAAAGCATTCTCAGTTTCTTACTGGGTGTCTGTGTCTGTCCACCTGTAGGCAGTTTGCATGTCTGTCCTTAAAATACATGCTGTCTGGTGTCCCTGCGGTTATGAGCACGCTCCTGGCCAACATCAACGCATTCTACGCTCACCCCACCTCAGTCACCAACGTCTCCGCCTGTGACCGATTCAATGCCTCCAACTTTGGGGTAATGCTAACTCGGCATCGCACACAGCCAATATGGCCCCACCACTATAAGCTGTAAGGACAGACTAGAGGTTGCTTATTACCTCAGTAAAATGTGACATAAAAACTAGCTATGTAGCATTAAAAACATTTTAAATATACATTTGATTACAGAGTGGTGGTGACTATAATCAGAGTCACATAACACCTTTTATCCCAAACCCACTGAGAGTATATTCTGAAGATGCTGATTCTAGCAAACCATGAATGCATCTGCTTGAATTTGTGCACAGCTACTCGCTTTCTTGTACTAGACCTTTCTGCAGAACGAATCTTGCTCATAAAGGGATTTTGAAAAGATACAACATAGTGAATAACTGAAATATTGTCAGCATCCCTGACCCTTTGATTCCTATTCAGGTTTGCCATGAGACGGGGTTTATTCAAAGCCCTTTCTCTGGTGTGCTTGTACTGTCTTTGTTCGTGTGTGTGTGTGTGTGTCTTTGTACACACTCTATATCCTTGGATCAAGGTCTAGATTCATTCCGAAGGAGATAAGTGTCAGAGAAACGTACCTTGTGGGTCTTTGAAAATGTAATTTTTGCTCTGACTCTATTACTAAATACATTACCAAATACAGAGAGAAAAAAACATATTTTTTTGTTTAAGTTTAATTCTTTTCACCATTGAGTCATCTTTCTCTCTGTTAATGCAGAAAGATCGGTTTGTTAGACTGCTGGATCAGCTTCATAACTCTCTCCGCATTGACCTGTCAACATACAGAGTAAGTATTCATTATGTACACTAACTTAGCCTAATCTACAGGGACAACTGATGCAGCCTAGCATGGTGTAGTGTAGTACAAATTACTGCTTGATTAGAATATGCCCCACTATAAAAAATATTTTGTTCACGCATGTTATTTACCTTAAAGCTTGGGTAGGCAATCTCTTTCTTAAACACTTTTTGTTATACTGGTTGAAACACTCTTCACATCCTGATAGCAATCAATCAATAATAAAAGTATTCTAAATATAAAAAATATATATATTTTGTGAAAGTCTCAGGTCCAAAAATGTTTTTGTCCAATCATTGCATTATGTCCAGATGCAATGATAGTATGTCCTACCTGCCTGCCAACCTATGTATTTGCATACAAAGGCGAAATGAATCTGCAGCAGTCAGGTGGTACAATTCAGTGCTCTTTAAGTTGTTTACGTTCATTATTTTTTTAATGATATGTGCTTTGAGACATGAGGTAATTTAAAGCCGTTTCTCGTGTGACGCTTTGCAGACTCTGCTGTGCTCGTTCATGTGTTTTAGAGGAGACGTGATGGACACGCTCTGAATGGATGGTGCATGAGATCTAAAGCTAGCTTGCTATTGCTTGCCACTCCAAAATTGCCTACCCTAGCTTTAATTTTTTAAATATTTCATTTCAAGCTCTTTACTGACACTGTTGTCTTCTTGGTAAACAAGTACACTGACTTTTGAAAAAAAAAAGGTTATTAGGGGCAGAATTTTAGGCTGTGGTGAAAATGATTCCACCAGTGGGACAGTTGAATTTTGAAAAATTCATAAATCATTTTCACACAAATATTGAAGTCATTTATATTTATAAAGCATATCAGTATTTATGTAATAATTAATATATTTTTGCAATGGATATTCATGGTTTAAGATTGAAAGTCAGGTCTTGGACAAGGGTAAACCAAAAAATATATTTATGAAGGGCATTTAAAGGGTATGAAAATATATATTTTTAAAATAAAATAAAAAAATATTGTAAAAAAATGAAACAAATAATGTCATTGAACCCTGAGACATAAAAGTACAGACATTTGTAGAAAAAAATCCACAGGCTTATTTGTATGTAAAACATGAATGTTTCATGCACAAACCATAGTTCGTCAATAATACATTTTGAATGAAATCAAAACATATATTGCTGACATATATTTTTATGTGTACTATATATTTTTATTGTGACCCTATAATAAATCTTATGTATTTCAGAATAACAATGTGCGTTATAGTGGAGTCTAAGATGCAGCTGGTCACATGTAGTCTTGGTCTTATTGTGTTTCAACTGGTTTTGAGAGTGGTTGGCATGTATACTCTTTATAAGGATACATACCGTATATAGACTCGATCAATAGCCTATGTGCATATGTTTGTGTGATACATTGTTAATGATTGTTAAGTTACTATCTTTCCGAGGTTATATTGTGCTTCTCACTCAAGCTTCCTGTGATGTTCTTTCTGTCCCTTTCATCTCCAGAATAATTTCCCAGCCAGCAGTAAACCACGTCTAGCAGATCTCAAATCCACTGTGGATTTATTGACTAGCATTACATTCTTCAGATTGAAGGTATGATAACGTACCTCTAAATCTTATCAAGGAATGGCATGCTATATTGCTCTTTTTGTTGTTTATACTGTATTTGAGAGTTACAGGGATGTGGGTCTTATTTGTAATGCATATATTGAGTGACAGATCCTATAGAGATGAATAATTCAATTGAGTTTCATTCAGCCTTGAGTAAACTCTCAATCATTTCTGTCTGCCTGAGTTCATACAGTAGAAAAGGATAATAGAAGGTTTGAGATGAAGATTGATTTCTTTGTCCTGTAAGAGAGGCCTTTGTGCGGGCTTTCATTACTGAGATTAGTCACTATTGATTTGACAGCATTGCGCTTGTTAGCGGGAGTTACATTGTTATACATTCAGACATGCTCTTTTCTTCTCTGCTGCCCCCTGTGTCCAGGTTCTGGAACTGCAGTCTCCCCCGCGTGCGGCCCATGTGGTTAGGGACTGTGTGAAAGCATGCCTCAACTCCACATATGAGTACATCTTTAACAACTGCCAAGAGCTGTACAACAGACAGTTTCAGACGGCCGTCGAACCTGTGAGTAAACACATTCACGTCATGCAGTAGCGGTTTTAGGCACGGGTGAACTGGGCAGTCGCCCGGGGCGGCATTTTTTCATGTCACATGGGGGGCGGCACGAGCAGTTAAAAAAAATCCTCTGCGCCGCGAAGGTTTTCTATTTTCTATCATTTCAATTCAATTATTGGCAATGGCGCCCCTGCTTGCTGAGAAGGTGCCGTGCACAGAAGCTATGTCAAGGGGGTCTCCAGATTGGAGGTAGCTCACCAAGGGGCCGTTCACATATCGCGTCTTTTGCGCGCTCGAGGTCGTTATTTCAAATGTAGGCGCACGGGAAGCGCGCTCATAATTAAAGCGACGCGCTCATTTTTTCCAGGAGCAGCGAGATGAACATTTTTAATCTTTTCAGTATGGGGGTGCACCCAAACACGTGGGTGTTTTTCTCTTCTCCGTAAATAAATCTTTCAGCAGAGCTACAGCAAGCGTTTTTCTGTGGTGGAAATCCATTAGCTACTAAAACTTCTTTGTCGTTGTGGAGAGCGCAGTGCATGTTTGTATAGCAACGACAGCCATGGGAAAATCGGACCGAATTTTACTATTAATAATAAAAAATAAGCTACTGTGCATTATAAATGTCAGGAATTTATCTTTATTGACCCATTCTTTTTATAAAGATGATTTAAAGGCTGAAATATGTGAGGTTTATCTTTTTATAAAACCTTTTTTGTCAAAAGTTTATTTGAACGTGTACATGTTATTAGATAACATAAAACACACTCCTTTAAAATTTGGCCATCATCTTTAATGTTATTAACTTGGTGAATAGATTTCATTGTGTATTAGGCCTACTTTTTGAACAAGATTCTGTGTTTAACCGTGATCATTTTGGTCACTATATTCATGAAATGAAAATAATTTTCATAATGATCAACTAAAATCAACTATAATTATGTGTTTTTACAGTAGCCTATAATATGCAAAGTACAATTTTCTATTAAAAAATAATCTCTGATTCTGTCCTTTTCTCTGACATTTAAGGCCTAAGCTATTTTAGGTCTAAAACAGTTTGGATAGTTGTTAATATTAGAGTTATTAGAAATTATTTAAGAGATAAGTATTGTGTTACTACATAAGTATCTCTCGGCCACTTTCACTTTTAAAAACTCTATTTCGTGACAAAGTATACGAAGGGGGTCTCGCCCAGGGTGTAATTCAATGTAGAACCGCCACTGACGTCATGCGCAGGTGTATGTTTGTATACACACAGATGGGAATGCTTTCACTTGTGTTTGACGGTATGTTTGGAGATTAGATTATGTCATTGTCAGAGGTTGAATTTCTCATGGGTAATACCAACATTTCAACCTAGGATATCTATCTATCTATCTATGGTCATTCTTCTATTTTTCTGTCTGTCTTTTGTTGTCTGTCATTCTATTTTTCTATATGTCTATTGTCTGGTGGTTCTGTCTGTCATTCTGTTTGTTGTTGTTGTCTGTCTGTGTGGTCTATCTTTCTGTCTGAATGTCATTCTGTCTATCATTCTGTTTGTCATTTTGTCTGTCTGACACCATCCATTCTTTCTATATTTGTCTGTTGGTCTGTCTGCCATTCTGTCTATCGTTCTGTCTCTATTTCTATGTCTATTGTTCTGTCTATCATTCTATCATTTTATTTGTCCTTTGATTTATCTGTCCTGTCTGTCGTTCTGACTTTCTATCATTCTGTCTGTTCTGACTGTCTGTTGTTCTATCATTCTGTCTGTCATTCTTTCATTCTATCTGCCCTTCTGTCTGTTAATCTGACTGTATGTGTTCTGTCTATCTTTCTGTCATTCTGTCTGACTGTCAATCTTTCATTCTATCTATCCTTCTTCTGTATCTATCATTCTGTCAGTCTGTCTTTCTATCTTTCTGTCTATCTCTCTATTTGTCTGTCTGTCTATCATTGTATCGATCATGCTATTATTCTATTCAACAGAAACCAAAAGAAAGGAAAGAGGTAGAAGAGGGTGAAGAAGAGGCAGATAAGAAGGATGAGAAAGAGGAAGAAATTGCTGCTGTAGAAGAACCAGGACCAAGCATTCAGAATTTGGACTTCTGGCCCAAACTCATCACCTTGATAGTTTCCATCATAGAGGAGGACAGGAACTCCTACAGTCCGATCATAAATCAGTCAGTGACTGCACAGATACACATCATATCACACACAAACACATGAGCTGATACGTTTAACCCGGTGTGTCCTGTGCAGGTTTCCTCAGGAGCTAAATGTAGGGAAAGTCAGCGCTGAGGTCATGTGGACACTCTTCGCACAGGACATGAAGTATGCACTAGAAGGTATGAAGAAATATACATTATTTATTATGTATGGGAAGTGTGCATGCCCTTAAAGTGTGTCTGTGTGCACTACAATTCTTTTCTTTTTTTTGAGATTACCCTCCTAACATTGCCCAATCTCTCCTTTTTATTTGTCTCTGTCTTCAGTTCTTAAACATATCTTCCACGATCATTGGAAGAATGGTAAAGGTCAAAGATTATAAGGAGTCATGAGAGTGTGAACTTGGACTTATATGTCAGGATATAGATACAAGATAATCACATCACTCTGTTACATGCTAAGCGGCCATAATCTTCTACACTTTTGTAACATATATATTTTTTTTACCATATTGCCCGTCTATTATGTTTAGTTTACATTAACATATTATACCAGTTCGTTGACCCTTTGAATTAACCAGGTAATGTGAATTTGCATGCAAAATGAGCTGCGATTTCAATATAGTTGGCACTACCAAATACTTTAATAACAGCTTCTATGTTTTTGACACAGTGAAAAATTAGTATTGGGTGATTATGTATAGTATCGGCCCTACTTCCTCCTTTTGTCACCACGATTGGGTGCTGGGTTCTGAATAATAATAAATATGTTCAGTGTTATGTTAATGTGCTCATTGTGACAAGCTGGGAGCTTTGCATTGTGGGGGTTTTAGTTCAAAGCAGCGATGCAAATCCTGTTTTTGATGATAAGACCCCTTTAAAGGTTTATAACACTCTTTTTGGTTTCAAGTCCTCACTCTCTCAATGCTACAGCAGAGTTAGAGAATAGAACCCCCAGTTTCGTTTTAGATATTCCGAGTACTAGTAAACAGGAGTTAGACACCTCACTGAAAAAAATCATCTTTTCCTTTTGATCCCAGCCTCCTTTTCTTTTGAAAACCACCCCTTTTATTACACACATGCACTTTTTTCTTTCTTTCTCAAGTGTTCTTCATCTCTCTCGTCTCTCCTGCCTTCTTTTCTTATTTTTAGCACCTGCCACATTTCATATTCGCAGACTTGATTTTTACGCTGGTAAGACACACGGTTTAGTCGCTGTGAGAGTGTGTGTGTCCACGTGTACACTGCTGTTTAAAAGTTTGGGGTCGGTAATGTGGGTTCAAAAAATTGTGTTTTTGAAAGTATCTTCTGCTCATCAAGACTGCATTTATTTAATCAAAAATACAGTAAAAATGGTAATATTGCAAAATAGTATTTCAATTTAAAAAAACGTTCAAAAGAACAGGCATTTATTTCAAATATAAATTAAAAAAAAAAAATTTAAAAAAAGGTTAATTTTTTGTTAATTGAATGCATCCTTGCTGAATAAAATTATTAATTTATATTTAAAAAAAAAAATCTTACTGACTTCAAACATTTCAATTGGAGTGTATGTGTGTGAAGTGCATTTTCTTAGCGTTAGCCTCTGTGAGTGAGTACAGTTTGAGACTGGGATGAAACAGCAGTTCATTCTTAGTTTATAGCTTAGCGGAGAATTATTATGTTGAAACCGAAGGAAATTCGTGACAAGGTAAAATGAAATTAAATCTGTCGACTCATGCTTGTTGTCTCCCCAGAGCATGAGAAGCTGAGGTTGTGTAAAAGTGCGGACTACATGAATCTGCATTTCAAAGTCAAATGGCTCTACAATGAATACGTCTGCGACCTGCCTGCCTTCTCTGACTCTGTCCCAGAGTACCCATCGTGAGTCACGCTGCTTCTAATTCTCTTTCAGAGCATCTTTGGCTAAAGTTTTCTCTTCTTTTTTTTCCTTCAAATAATCTGCAGTTTATTCTAGTTTTATTTTCTCACTCACACTCTGTCATCACCTACTGTCCCAAATCGACAGCGTGTCTGGCTTGCATGCCTGAATACTTTCTTCTGATGTTTAAACATTCTTGACTATTTGCTGCTTTGCTGCCCTTCTGCTTCATTCCTCCTCCTGTTTCTCTATATTTCTTCCTTCATTTCCCATGTGTAGGTGGTTTCTGCCATATGTTCTCCAGTGGCTGGCTGAGAATGAGGAAGTGTCGATGGAGTTTATGCATGGAGCCCTTGAGAGGGATAAAAGAGAGGGGGTATGGTTCAGTAACTAACTTTTCTGTGTGGTTTGCTCACTTATAAATTGCTTCTCGGCTATTGGTCTAGGATCTAAAACATGGTGTGTCAAATAAAATTGCTGTCTACTACCTGTAAGAGTGTTGAATTTTATTAAAATTAACAGACTTCAAATTTGCTTCGAGTTATTTAAAGGTCACATGCTTTTTAACATCCCTTCATCGTTTATTTTTGCTACTTTTCAATGGAATTTTTATGTATACAATATTGTTCTTAAGTTTAGGGCTGGTACATTTTTAAATGTTTTTGAAAGAATTTATACTCACCATGGCTGCATTTATTGTGAAATATAATTACAAATTAAAATAACAGTTTTCTATTTTTTTTTTATTTACATTTTAAAATCATACATTTAAAATCAGAATTTTCGGCATCGTTACTCCAGTCTTCAGTGTCACATGATTCTTCAGAAATCATTCTAAAATGCTGATTTGTTGCTCAAGACACATTTCCTCTAATTATCAGTGTTAAACACTTTGCTGCTTAATATTTTTGTGAAAACTGTGATGCATATTTTCAGTATTCTTTGATGAATAAAGTTTAAAAAACAGCATTTATTTAAAAAAAAATCTATTTTAAACATTATAGATGTTTTTTACTGTCACAATTTATCAATTTAATGCATCCTTGATGAGTAAAATTATTATTATTATTTTTTATGAAATTACAGCTGCTTCAGTGGTGTCATTTCCACCACACTACACCATTTCGCCCTTTTTTTATTTATTTTTTACTCAAACTAATTATTTACTAAGGGGAAAACTTTTAAAAGAAGAGCATGTCTAAGATACATTTTGAAACGTGATTTCTGTGAAGGAAACAGAAAAATCAAGATTAATATAACTTTTGAACAGAATATGTTTTCATCATTTCCAATCAAAATGTAATTTTGTCAAGTATTGTAAAGTTGAGAAAATTGTTTATTTCTGTTTATTTAGGATAGATAAAATGCTGCTGTAAAATGGATAAACTTCTCATGACTTTCAGGAAAAAAAAACTTCTGTTGTGTATGTATGTCCAGTTTTGGACCTTGAGAGTAGACACATTAAATAAGTATTCACTTTCATCTTCAAAAGATCCTCTCCTTGCTTTTCCACAGTTCCAGCAGACATCTGAGCATGCGTTGTTCTCCTGTTCAGTCGTGGACATCTTCACTCAGCTCAACCAAAGCTTTGAGATCATCAAGAAACTAGATTGTCCTGATCCTGCAGTGGTCGCCCAGTACAACCGACGCTTTGCCAAGGTGAAAACCAGGAGCAGAGAATGTCAGAAAGATGGTGGATGTAAAAGGCAGGCAAAAGAAATATGAGCTGTCTTTAGACCATCATCATCTGTTTATAAGCCTGTGAGTCATATTTAACATAGACGTCTGATGCAGAGACATCTTCGTTGAAGCCCACACAGGTTTTGTTGGAGCTGAGAAGTATTCACATTTTATTAGATTTTAGTGAGGACATGACTAAAAACTAAATAGAATTGTCTGACATGATCATAATTATGGTATTTTTGATATGACTTTTTTCAGTAATCAGCATATTGAGGTCTATTTCAGGGAACAAAACAGCAGCTTAATGCATCTGCCCATGAAAAAATCATTAGTTTTCAACAACAAAGTCAATTTATCTGCCATTCCAGATTACCAGCTCAGTATGAGGTGTAGTTCATTTACTCTACATAATGTTTAGGTGTAATATCTGTTCTTTCTTTTCATTTTCCCCCCCTTTCACTGTCAGACTATAACCAAAGTGCTCCTGCAGTATTGTGCTATTCTAACCAAGAGCTTCTCATCCTATTGTGAGAAAGAAAAGACGGTGAGTGCTGACAAAAAATGGTTAAGACTAGTCAAACACTATATTTGTAGCTAAAATGTTGTGTGGTTAAGAGTCCAATTAGGCCTAAATTCTGTCTTGTTTTTTTCTCTCTATCTTTGTGTTGTTCACTCCCTCCTGCATCTCCCGCAGCCGTGTGTGCTGATGAATAACGTTCAACAGATACGTGTGATGTTGGAGAAGATGTTTGAATCTATGGGGGCCAAACAGGTGAGGGAAATATGAAGTGATAACAGCTAATGACAGGGCCAATAATAGGAGATGAGGGGTAATGGAAGTTACGGTTAACTGTTGCAATATTTAGTGAACTGTCACCTAGGCAACATTTTTATGGTTTTTTATTCATAGACTTGCTACAGATGCAACACTTTTACATAAAGTACTGTGGTGGTACTATGGTATTTTTAAATGGATGATATTTATATTGTGTATATATATATATATATATATATATATATTATATATATAAAGAGAGGCAATAGCACCAATAGCACCAGAATGGTGCTTTTTTATGCAACAAAAGTATGTTGCTTTATAATGTACACTACTATTCAAAAGTTTGGGATCGATAAGATGTTTTTGAAAGAAGTCTCTTATGTTCACCAAAACTTCATTTATTTGATCAAAAATACAATAAAAACAGCAATATTACAAAGTATTATTTCAATTTAAAATGATCGTTTTCCATTTTAATATATTTTAGAATGTAATTTTTATTCCTTTGATAGCTAAGCTTACTCCAGTCTTCAGTGTCACTTGATCCTTCTGAAATCGTTCTAACATGCTTATTTGATACTCTAAAATGATCTGATTATTATTATTTGATGCTTATTATCAATGTAAAAAAAAAGGTTGTGCTGCTTAATATTTTTGTGGAAACTGATACTTTTTTCAGGATTCTTTGTTGAATTGAAAGAACAGTAATTTTTATAAATAAAAAAAACTTTTGTAACATTATAAATGTATTTACTGTCACATTTGATCAATTTAATGCATCCTTTCTGAATAAAAGTATTAATTTCTTTAAAAAATAATATATATATATACTGTCTTACTGACCCCAAACTAAGACCCTAAACTTGAATGGTAGTGTCACAAGTATCCTTTACTCTTTAGTCTTTCACCACCAGCGGGATTTTTTTTTTTTTTTTGCCAGCATTTTTGGTCATTTTCACAAAAATGTCATGGCCCCCAGAATATTTTGTAGTATGCATATCTGAGCATGCAATATGTCCAAAGATAGAACAGACCCTCTGCTTTTAAACAAAATTCTAGCCTCATGCATTCTTTTTTTTAATCAACACTTGAATGTGGGTAAGTTTCATTAAAAAAAGCAACATTTTGAGCAAAAAGCTGAGCAAATTGCGTTTTTGTCAGACTACGTCTGGATCAGATTCAGATCGATGATCAAAACACAGATGGAGTAGAGTCCTAAGCTTTCACATAGCACTTCCTGGGTCGACATTTTATTTAGTAACATTAGTCCATTTTGAAATGCTGTTTTATTGTTGATCATCGCATAATTTTTTATATGCATCTGCTCACATATGAGATTGCTCGTTTCTAATTCTTCTTTGCCTGTGTTTTGATTCTGGAGATACTGTATACTCGTTCAGGAGAGGCTTAATAACGCCCCCTACCGTATAACACTGATAACTAATTTATGAAGCGTTTTCTCATAATTGACGAGATAACTAGTCAATGGAAGGAAAGAGTTAATGGATATGGTAGTACCAGAATGCTCTTATTAGGGGTTCAAGCACGAAGTGCTGAAACCCTATTGTAATTGTAAGGATTTGTAAATCTGATCGTGCAGACCAAACCGTAAGTGCTAGAGACTTGAAACCTGGCCAGATGGTAGGCCTCAATTTTGGGAGAACCTATCAGAGTATGACCCCGATTGGCCCATAGGTGGCGCTACAGCAACCAAAAGTACTAAATTGCTCATAACTCCTAGACCTCTTGACTTAGACAAGGTTTTTACACCACTGTGATCCTTGTCTCAAGACGGACAAAATGTATATTAAGGCTGCAAAAATTTCTGCTATGTCGAATTTTGTCCAAAACCTACTTTTGCGAACTAGTCCCTGGTTTTTCGCCCGATCGGATCTAGACCAGTCTAGGACAATTCTCTCTAGACTCTCTAGATCAATAATTATCGAAAAAAAGTTGAACTTTTGCATTTGGGTGGCTGTAACAGGGTCATTTAGAAAAGGGGCTTGGCAAAATACACTCAAAAGCCTATAAATCCTAAAGGAAAACTCAGAACTTGTGTTGAAAATGTAGAAAATGTATGCATGCTCAGAAAATGTATGAGCATGCATAACATGCTGAAGAAGCATGCAAGGTTTCATGGAGATCGGACCATAGGTGGCGCTATAACTGTCAAAAAGCTTTGAAAACCATATATTTTCTATGGTAAATTGCCTGTATTGGCTGTAAATGGTCTTTTCCATCTATTATGTCAGTGGTTATGCTTGCTAAATAAAGCGTAATGTCTTTAACGCTTATGTGCTTAAAGGCCTTAAATGCTTGAACCCCGCTAAATGCTGCTTGCAGCTTTCATTTATCCTGTATTTGTGGGTATCTTTATGCTCCTTAGAGGATCGAGGAGTTTGCGTAGCAGCAACATGCTAACATCAGAGTGAGCGCTAGTTGAGTTTTGTGTGCTTTTGTGAGTCTATGAAAATGGATTTTTTGGTTTGATGAAGATGGATCTACTGCCATTTTGTGCTTGATATGTTTGTGGTGAGCAATGAATTGAATGTTTATTATCATTCAAATGTTACACACCTTTTTGAAGATTCTGTTGAATCATCTCCTTAAGAGACATTTTTTATGTCAGTCTGTTTTTCAGTTTTTGTATGGATTTTGTGTGTGTGTGGTGAATGCGTATCCTAGCTGAGCTAACCATGTATTTGTGTGTGTGTGTGTGTGTGTAGTTTACTGCTGAGGAAGAGAGGGTAGGTCAAGAGATATATTTTTAAGATGAACCATCCCTAATCCTCTGTGTGATTTTGTGCCTTACTATGTGTTGTATTTAGACCTTTTCACTAGGTTGTAGTCCCCTTGTTGTTCCACCTTAGTGCTGCCCATATGGTTCAGTCTTCCGTAGTGTTGTTCTCTTAGTATAAAATCCCTAAAACACTAACTTTGATCTCTCTTTTGCTCCCAGCTGGAGAATGAGGAGGAGCCTGAGGACGATGAGGAGGTGTGTCGAGAGAGAGAGAGTGTTTATGGATAGGGTCCCAAATTAACTTCCAATTACCTATATTGACCCATAAATATTTCGGTCACTTTACAATAAGGTTTCTTATGTTAACATTAGTTAAATGCTGTATATTAGTTAACATAAACTAACAATGACTAATTCTTCTACAACATTTATTAATCTTATCTAATGTCAATGTACTAATACATTTTTTAAATCAAATGTTGTATCTGTTAACATTAGTTAATGCACTGTGATCTAACATGAATATGAATATTTTCATTACGTAACATTAACAAAGGTTAATAAATACTGTAAAAATATATACGCATTGTTAGTTCATATTAGTTAAACGGGTTCACCCAAAAATGAAAAAATTGTCATTTACTCACCCTCATGTTGTTCCAAACTAAAATTTTAAAATATCTTAATATGTGTTCAGAAGAAAAACAAAAGATTTACTGTTTGGTACGACATGAGTGTGAGTAAATGATGACAATTTTCATTTTTCATCATCATCTAATCCTTTAATGCATTAACTACTTTTAACAAAGAGACCTTATTGTAAAGTGTTACTAATATTTCTTTCCCTTAGACATTAAAACGTGTTTAAAAAAAAAAAAATTATCACCATTTATCATGATTTTGTTACTCATGTTTTCATTGCGATGCTCTCATTTGGTGCTTGGCCACATTTAATAATATTTTGGCCTTTGTAAACTATAATTTCTTTCTTACAGTTAGGCAATAACTATGTGTGTGTGTGTATACAAATGCAAACGTGGTCTTGTTTGAGCGTATTTGTTGAAAGCTGGGGGACACAAACACAAAATTCTGTTTCTTTTGGTCTCCCTCTGCTCAGGCCATCACTGATGATGAAGGCAATGAGGTCTGTACACTCAACACTGGTAGAGGAGTGTGTGATGCTATGAGTGTGTGTGTGAGGGGGGTGTTTTGCAAGATTTTGTGTTAATCAACAAGGCAGTAAAAGTCTTCTGCTACTACCTATCACCTTTTTTTCCTGTTTTGTTCTTTGTTTTCACTATTACTCATCTTGTTCTTTATTTCTCATTACTAGTCGGATGAATCAGATGCTAAGGTGAGAAACAGGCATAGGTCTCACCTGATGCGCTTCCTTATGAAGCTGTTTATCAAACATATGAATCATTATAAATAACTGACAATAACATGCAGTGACAAAGTGACTGATGCAATGCAGCAATTACCATATAGTATATGCCTACTAGCAAGTTGTTGACAGTACAGTGTTGCACTATCGGTCAAAAGTTTAGGTTTTTATTTTTTTTGTTTTTAAAGATGTTTTTATTTTCACCAAGGCTATATTTATTTGGTCAAAATACAGTAAAAACAGTAATATTGTGAAATATTGTTAAGATTTTTCTATTTAATATATTGGCGTATATATTACGCCAATATATTAAATATGGCGGATATTTTATTTACGCCAGTCTTCAGTCACATGATCCTTCAGAAATCATTCTAATTTGCTGGTTTGGTGCTCAAGTAACATTTTTATTATTGTAAATGTTGAAACAGTAGTGCTGCTCAATATTTTTGTGTATTTTTGCATTTTTCAGAACGGCATTTATTTGAAATTAAACCTTTTTTGTAACCTTGTAAAATTCTTTACTGTGACTTTTGACCAATTTAATACATCCTTGCTGAATAAAAGTATTAATTTCTTTAAAAAATTAAAAACAGATCGTACTGACCCCAAACAATTTAACTGTAGTGTAATTGAAGCTGCATTTAATTTCCATATGTTCTTGTCATTTTATTTTAATGTGTATTGGTGTTTTAATCGTTTAGTTTCTCTGTTTATTTATGTTTTTGTCTGCATTCTGTATCCACTTCTTTCCTATCAGTCTGGAATTTCGGATTCAGAAGGATCAGAGGTACGTTAAGAGAATGTCAGCACTTTTTAGAAGATGCACTAAAATCAAAAGCTTTATCAGGTTTTCATTTGCACATTTCATTC